TCAGAACCAGAAAACTGCAGTCACATGACTCAAAAATTACTCCCTTGGCATCTTTGCAACTACCTTTAACAAAATTTGCACATATGGACATGGAATTAAAAAAGAAAAAACAAATGCACAGAAACCAGAACAGCACAGTTAGCAGCTCAGCAGCTTCACTTCAGTGAAAGCAGAACACCTAAGAGACTCAAAGGCTCCACTTTGTACCTGCAGTTTGATCCTCTCCGCAGTCCCATCCCTCTTTGCAGGATAGGCAAGATGTAAGGACATCTGCTGGTAGGAAAAATAATGCAACAGCTTGTACTGGAGCCTTAGAGAGAAAGTGAGTAAAGAAAATAAAAGTCAAATCTTTCACTTTCTGCAGCCCCAAAAAACTGCTGATGCAGAGTGCAAAATGAAAGCACTGGCGTTACAGGACCTTTAGGTGTGATAATCAAGCAACAACTAACAACAGACCAAGGGCCAATGACATTGGTGCTCCTTGGCTCGGATTCTTGACCCAGGAACCCCAACTGCTCCCGTCACCGTCTGCATCAAGCCTGAGTACCAAGTCCCGTGCAGACCCTGCTGCTGTGCCACACACCTGATGGCTTCTCCAAGGCATCTCAAAACTCTCCCAAAAGGAGCATTGCACCTCAGAACACAACCACAGCACCCACAGACACAGCAGGTTGCAGCAGGAGGAGAGCAGCTGATGAGGGCACCATAACATCCAGGTGTTGCTTATTGCCAAGCAAGGGCTGCTGAGGGCCCCCTGTCACGCTGGGTTTGGTTTCTGGGCCAAACCACAAGCCCCAAGGTGATGAACTTGGAAGAAAACATGGCAGAGCTTTCTGCTATCGGTGTAAGGATCAAGACAACGCTCCCTGCGGCCTCTCCTCCACCATTGCTCACATGCAAATCTCTGCTAAAAATAACGGCCCAGAGCAGGGACTTGGGCTTGCCAGGAGGGCTGAGGTGCATGTGCAGGCAGCACACCTAGCACGGGAGTGTCCTGCCCATGACTTGGGCACTCCAAACACAGCATCGCTAAACCTCTGCCAGCAGCATACTTCCTTTTAGTGGGAAGTGATTAAAAAGCCTGAAATATTTAAAAGAGTAGCCACTGTTTGTCATTACAAACCTACTTTACCTGTAAGTGGGGCAGCTACCAGCCACGATATCAGAGTCTTAAGGGGCGAGTCACAAATCACTGAGAAACGGGGATTAAAACGAGAACAACACGGCGAGCAATGGCCTGGGCACGGCTGGGAACCACGAGGCGCGGGCTCGGCCGTCCTGCACGGGCAGCAGCCCCTGCTCCCGGCGATGCGGAGGATCCAGGGGATCCGGGATCAGGGTGGCAGCAGAGCACTGGGTGACTCTGTCACCGGGTGCTGGCGGTGGCTCTGGCAACGCCGCAGGGCGCTTCCCGGCCCGCCCTCATGGCGCTTGGCCCCACGGCGCCAGCACGGGCCGGGGAGCCCTGCGGGCAGCCCTGCGGCCGCCTCCCCGCGCTCCCCAGCCGGGCCGCCGCCTCCGCCAGCGTGGGAGGAGCCGCTGGCGGAGCGGGCCGGGCCGCGGCGGCGCCGCCCTCACTCGGCGGGCAGGACGGCGCTGCAGCGCGGCATGGCCGCGGCTCTCCTGCGCCGGCTCCTCGTAAGTGTGTGCCCCCCGGGGCCGCGGGGCGGGCTGCGGGGGGGCGGCCCCGGCGCCCGCAGCGGCTCCGCTCCGGCCGTGCCGCCGCCGCGGCCGCTCTGCTGCTGTGGGCGCGAGCGCCGGGCGGGCAGCGCTTGTCTGTCGGTCTGTCTGTGTGTCTGTCTTTCCGGGAAATCAGGTAACTCACTAGCATGATCTTCCTGTCCGGGCAGGAGTCAAAGAGCTGTCGGGCGCCTGCTCTACTGCTTGTCGCTTCCACGGGCGGCAGGCGCAGGGGCTGTAGGTGACAGGCGCAGGGGCTGTAGGTGACAGGCAGAGGGGCTGTAGGTGACAGGCGCAGGTGGCCCGTGGCGCTGCGTGGCCAGGGGGACAGCAGCCCGGGCGCCTGCCCAGGCAAGGTCCATGCTCCTGAAAGCCGTCCCATGCAGCAAGTTTACAGTGACCTGTTAAACCAACGCGATAGAAAATTCCGGTGGTTGAGGAGCTCTTATCCATGACCAGCAGTGACCCTGCAAAGGCACTGCAATAAATGAACTTTAGCTGCAGCATTTACTGGCAACAGGGCAGGGCCTGATTTTCTCGCATTAGTCATGCCCCGTGGAGAGTCTGAGTCTCCACAGCTTCAGAGTTTGTGTCACGTGTGAAGTTCACCGTCACTACTAACGTGGCCTTTCCTAGCAGTAACTCTCTTGGAAGCGCTGCTATGAATGAGGAGGGCAAGGGAGGCTCTGGCCGATGCCCACACGCCGGCGTTAGCGGCCGCTGGCACCTCGGCGGGCGCCGGGGCGGCAGGAGCAGGCACCTGTGTCCTCCTGGCCGCGGCCGCGCGGGGCAAACTGCTCCCCCAGGCGCAGGTCTCGCCGGGCTGGGACCCCCGCTGCAGCTCCCGTGCCGCATCTCTCCCCGCCGTGGCCCCAGGTGCTGGCAGATGTGCTTTGTTTTGAATTGTGGCAGGCCAAAATCTGCCGTTAAGGTAGAAGCTCTTCAAAGTCTGATCTCACTTATACATAGAACAGTTTCTAGAAGGTTTAGAAGTGCCCCTGCACAAAGCATCAAACGTATTTAAGTACAAATGAGGATTTTCAGCTGCTGATAGAACTATATAATGTCCATTCCTACACAAGGACAAAAGTCAACAGCACACAGTGCCTGAAATGTCTAACTCTGCATATTAGATCCATCCAGAAGATACATTCAGATAAACAACCTCTCCCCTCTGTACACAGTTCCCACAGCATAGAAACTGTTCCTAGCCTTGTTTTTATTGACGTTTCAATTCCAGCTCCTTTAGAAAGCACTTCCATATACTTTCTATTAAAATGAATTCTGGGTGTTTATTACTGTATTGCTGCACTACTTCTAAGTCAATAAACTGGAGCAGCAATTGATTTATTACTTGGATTAAACCGGAATGTGCAAGTAGTGTGCTGAGTGACACTGCAGTAGTGCAAGCATATTTGTGTTCCACTGAAGCAGGCCCAGTTGCAGAGATATAATGCAAAATAGCAGTGGCCTATATAATTGGAAAATTCTACCTTTACGTGTAAAAACAAGCCACAAAACTGCATGCTGTTCAGAGACACCTTGTAGAATAATAGGCTGTCTTCAGAGAAAAAGAAATGTTGCATAAATATTTCATAATTATCCGATATGATTGTTTACACAGTAGGCAACAGAAGTCGACACTTTTGAAAACAGGACATCTTACATCACTGTGCTGAGCCTCTTTTTTTTTCATTTTCCGCAGTACTAATGCACATATTTAAATATACACAAACAAACAGCAACAAAGTCATGGCCTGACCCAAGTGTCAAGTGAAACTATCGAAAGGTTCCCAATTCTGGTAAAGTTCATCAGTTGCTCACATTTTTGTAGACCATTAACTGCTTTTATGTTTGAGGCAACTCACTGAACAGTGGGCAACTGTCAAAAAGCAAACCCAAGGAGCAAAAAGCGAAAAGCAAACACAAGGCCAAGGGAGAAAAAAAGTTACATTTCGATCCTCTCCAGCTTTTCTTGTTCATTCTTAGGCACAACATAGTCAAAGTGAGGTGGGAAGTGCTGATACTTCTGCCTATCTCCTAAACGCCATACTGGTTTAGGCATACATTAGTGGAGTGCTTCTGAAAACAAAACAAAACAAAACAAAAACAAAATAACCAACCATTATTCCCCTACCTTCCCCCCACACACACAGCATATTGCGCTGCGGTTTGTAATTTGCATGTGAGACAACCCAGATGAGAAACAGGAATGGTTTGAGTTTGGGCAACAACTATTTTAATATGCTTAACCAAGGTTCCCTACGCTCACAGGCCCTCACTAGATGTATTTACCCGAAATCTCAGAAGCTCGGCATGCTTCTGATTGTGTGGAAATACCAAGTCCTGTCCTCAGAAAGCTGAGCTTGATTCTTTGTCCTGCATATCACCACACATTTTAGAAGATGAGGAAATATTATTTTTAGTGGTTATTTTGGTGCTATCAACTTCCACCTTTAAGGGAAGGAAAGGAGGTGGGGGGGATGGGAAAGTGATGTTGGAGAAATTAACTTATTATAGTAACAAAACTGTAGTAGAGTCCTCTTAACAGTGTAAAATTAGTACTCTCTGAAAAAGCTACCCTGAAAGGGGTAACACAGCTGCCTATTAAAATGGAAATAACGTTAGCAATATTTTTTCAAAGAAATATCAGATGCAGATCAAAAGCAGACCATAAATGAACCTTTTCCTTAGCTCCCACTAGGTAACAAACCAAGAAAATTTCCCCCCTCCTTTTTTAAACACCAAAAGCCCCTGATGACCTCATGCATGTTCCCCCTGTAACAAATGTGGAGAAGGAAAAAAACAGCAGCATGCTCTGAAGGCATCAGTATTAAGCATTTGAACTAGCACAAGAAGCTTACTAAAAAAGTTATTATAAAGTGACAGGAGAAGCAGAGACTTATTTTGCATTTAGCAGGTGAAAACCTGTAAAGCTTTAAGAAGGCCTGCATGCAAATAGCACTTGTACACACTTTAAAAACCTAGATGAAATCCCCATAAGGTTGGTCTGATGCAACTCTTCACTTGGAGGAAATTTTCCTATTATAAAGAACACTCAAACAGCAGAAAAATCTGAGGCCTGAGAGTCCACAAATCACTCAAGTTTTCAAAGAAACTAGAGCTCCCATCAGTGTGTACCACAAGAGCACAGATGAAAGCATCTGCACCAGCACTGAACTTTCCTGAGATGCTGATGCTGATGCCTGTTGCTGAATGCCCTTCGGAAGATGCTGTAGGAATGAAGGGGAGAGGGAGCACGTAGAAACATCTCTGAAATGCCTGTGCAATGAAAAAGGAGCCAAAGCAGAAAATCTGCCCCCATGTGACCGGTTTTATGGATTCTGCTAAGGTTAGCTCTTGCTGATTGATTTTGCTTCTATTGACTGCTCAGTTTGATCTTAATCTTTAGTTCAGTTATGACAAGAGTTTGTTAGATTAGGATAAGAAAGCTAAGAGTCTCTCTGAGTCATTTCAGACTGGAAAACATATGGCCTCTTCTGAATGTACACATTAGAAAAAAGCACCTATTGACTTTGCCTTTGTGAAAGTCCCTAATGTTCTTCCTTTGCGTTATTAGTAATTGCTGCTTAGTGAGAACACAGAGAGGAATTACGCTGTGCTCAGGAAACTCAGTGCTGGGTGATGTGATGCTTTTAGGAAGGGGCAAATCCAGAAGGTTTAAAAAAATACAGTTTAAGAAATTAGGGTGTTGCTTTGAAACCTAAGCTCTCCAAAGGTTCCTGCTTTGCAAGGCAGCACACAGTCCCTGAGAGCAGGGCTCTGTAGGTGTTTGGTACTACTCAAAAGACAAATTCTGAGAAGCGGTCCACACTTCTGGTAAGTGCATCCGGAAATTCATCTCCGTGAGTGACGGTGAAAAGCTGCCATCAAAAAAACTTTAATTCTGTCCTTCCCAAGCTTGCCGCTACAGATATTTTTTGTGTGAAGGAATACGATGCACGCCTGCAGTATGGTCTCAGTAGTTCAGTCGGCTGAAGCAGGATTACTGATGTTGGCCATCCAGAAAGCCGTTTCCCTCTTTTGTTTCGTCCAGTTTCCTACAAGCTCCTCTGGGCATTTTCTGCTCCGCGCCTCCCCGACACCACTCCACGCCTGCGCCATTTATAGGTGCACTTGGGGTTTTGGAGCTCTGCTTATCTACTCCGCTCCCTTTCTTCACGCTGTTCATTATTAGCAATTATTACCAGGTTCTTTACCCCCGAAACGACAACTGCCAAGTTGTGTTTATCAGCCTAGCGCAGGAGAGCCGTGTTGCGGGCGGCCCTGGCGAGCGCAGCGGGCCCTGGTGCTGGGGCGCGCGAGGAGGAGGAGAGAGCTGGGCCGCAGGCCGCCCCGTTTCCAGATCCTTCTGCCGCCTCCAGCCTCGCTGCTGCCGCCTCCAAGGCCGGTGCTTCAGGCCAGGGCTGAGGCAAAGGGCCGCCATGGAGGAAGAAGATGAGAGGTGCCGGAGCCTCCACCAACGGTGTGGGACAGCAGGGCCAGCGATGGCGCTGGGCGGCCGCCACGGGGCCCGGTGGCGGCCATGGGGGCCGCCAGGAAGCCATGTTGCGCAGTGGCGAGCCCCATCGCTTCCTCTGAGACAGCAGGGACAGCGCACTGCTGGATAGACACCTACCGCTTCGTGAAGTGTCTCACATGGGGCTCTTCTTTTGACTGGGACAGTAACTCCCATCAAAAGAAAAAATGATGTTAATTTGTAGTAGTGGTTTGACAGCTGCTGATGGGGTCTGCGCTAGCTGCATCCTGAGCACGGTCTCGGGCAGGCCTGCGGCGGCACACGCAACCAAGCTCTGGCAGCGAAGCAAACCCAAGCTCCAGGCAGGCTCCCTTGTCCTCCCATCGCTGGGTAAACTGGAGGATGGAAAGAAGTTACTGCATGGATGAGGCCCCAGACCAGTGGCATATTGATAACTGCTTTCATAATCCACAAATAACACTTCCTTCACTTGAGACACCAGCTTGACATTTAAACCCAGCTTTCAGTGAATAGAATTGAAGAATCTTTCTGCATCTAACTGAACCTGAGAATGGCATCAAGCAATTTTGCACAAACTCAGGAAAATTAATGAATCAGCTAGGCAGAAAAAAAATGTGAAATAATAAAAATAGTATTAATAAGAGATGCTTAAATACATGTACAGCATATGCTTTGCTCTTAGCAGTAATATAGTACAAATTTGAATAATTTGAATTAAGTTGCATTTGGTGAATGATAACCAACTGTTCAGAATTCACCTCTTTTAGATATCCATGGCAATATTAAAAATCTATTATTTAGTTTAAGACTTTTTGCATGCTGATTTAAAATAAGAGTGGACTTGTGCCCAGCAGGACTTCTGTGTTCCATTAACTGTGTTACTGGGATGAGGATTTTGCAGTTTCTTTGTCATGGACCTGATTCTCCAGAAGTCCCCTTTCAGAAAAAGACAATCTTCAATCCTTCTTCTTCCCAACCTACCTATTCTTTCATATTCCCAAGGACAGTGTCATTGGTCTGTCTTCTCACATACCATTTTTCCACTTCCCTGATATTCCTCATAGTCGGTGTCTTTGGATCTTTTGTGAAATACAAGCTATAATATTGGAGCCATTGCTAAAAGGACCGTTTAATTTGAGGAAAAAGGAAAAAATCCTCCCAAAACAGAGCAGGAGAAGTGGAAAATAACTTGAAAGGAAAACAACACACCTCCCAGGTCTGGGTAGGCTTCTAAGAAGAAAGGTCTAAGAAGAAAAATAACTAAAAGTTGAGAAAAAGTCCTAAGAAAGTGCTCATGTAGGTAAAGTAGTCTGAGGTAGAGAAAGCAGTTGAAGAAACAGTGAGTTCCTTTAGCTTGTATATGAGGTCATCTGTTAAAACCCAGATGTATGGACCTGTTCTCAAATATTAACTTCCAAATAATCAATACCTACAGCAGTAGGGGTGATAGCATTAAATTTAAAAAGTATTCTCATTAGCCATTTATTCTTCTGTCAGAGTGAACAATTTCAATAGGAAAGTGAATATGAGCAGCGAAAGAATTTTAACCATGTAGTTCTGTGCTAGTAGTAAAATGCAGTTAAAACCTGTGACAACTTCTTGCATAATTTGCTTTTCTTATCTTCTAGATGGTGGGCTTAATTATTGAATCACAGTGCAAAAATGATACTGAAGCTCCCATACACAGAGTATATAATAAAATTACTGCAAGGAGGATCATCGCTAGGAGAGAAATTAAGTGTACTGCAGATGAGTACAATTTAGGTGGTATGTGTTGCAAGAAATGTGAACGTGGTAAGTATCATAAAACTGCATGAGATTGTGCACAATATGCACAATTACTTTCTGGTGGGATAACTAAGTGGCCTGCTTTGCTTCTTGGATACAGTGCTTCTTTCTAGCTATAGCCTTCCCCAGTACAGGACCTCACACACTTCAAAAATACTTGAGTTCAATTCACCGATAACTTTTCATAAATTTCATATGTAGTTCATATTATAACATGCTTGTAACAAAAGAACTGACAGTTTCATACACAGCTTTGAAAGAGATCAGGAATGTGCAAACCTCTTCCAGAGCTGCATAGGTAACAGCCTACAGGTTCTCCATGGATTGGAGCTGGGTTTTCACATTTTTCATATTAGTTTTAAAGTTAAGTTTTGTTTCATCTTCTATGTTGTCTTTTGTTCCTAAATTGAAGGAGGGTGTGATATGAGATTTTATATCTGCTATATTGCTGAAAAGCTCATATTTATGCATAAAAATATGAATTCTGCCAATATTTGTAAATCAAAAGGTACTACATACTAAATAGAAAGCTTGAAGTACATCTTAGAACTGATGGCTTCTGGCCAAAGATGTTACATATCTAAGTCTTGTTTTTCTCTCTCTACAGGCTTTGTTAAAAATACTAATTGTCCAACAAACGTGAGAGAACACTGTGTTCAGTGCATACCTGGACAAGAGTACGTCGATCATGCCAACGATTTGGATGAGTGTCTGAGATGCGCTTCTTGTGACGGAATATTTGGTATGTTTATAGCAAAAGCAACTCAAGCAATGAACTCTTGTTTGCTATAGGAATAGATTGAAAAGTGTTGGAAAACCATGAGTAAAGGGTAATAGGCAGATTAAAATGTCTAAGGAAGAGGATAAAAAGGAATTTATTACAATTTATTGGAATTTATCCAATTCCCTTTTGTTGAGGACAAAGTAGGAGGAAGAACAGCTAAATTGGTGCTTTATTTCCCCCTACCCCGGCCTTTGCTCAGCTTGGGAGCATTTGGAGGGCAACCTGCACTTCTTCTGTGCATGCCAGTACAATACCTTTCCTTACCTTCCCCCAGACAGGTAGCCCACAGGTACTGGCATGTTCTGCTGTTCCTAGTAGGCCTTACAGCACCTAATGTTTCTGCACAGGCCTCTACCTTGAGTTATGATATAGTCCTGTTTGATTATCTTATAAATACTGTAATATTTTATGGGTTCTAATAAAAAGCAACTTGCAGATCATGCCTTTATATGGCATATATTGGCACATGTATAGGCAAGCTGAAAAGCCATACATCATTCAGTAAGCCAGCTGTAATAACAGTTAGAGAAAGCTGATACCTTCTGCAGCTTTTCTTCATCAGGCCTGAGGACATTCATTCCTCCTAAATTTGCAATGAGCTCACTTCCCAAAAGCATCCTTTGCCTTTACCTTCCCACCTAATATATTATTTGGTCTAACAAAAGATAATAAGTTTATATATATTTTTTTTTCTCTTAGTAGCTAGTTTTCAAAGTTATGCTAAAGATGTGAACTAGGAATATGAAACAGCTTTGCTTTCTAAAAGACATTCAGTGTTGAGCAAAGGCTTTACTCCTTATAAAGCAGGTCCCACACCATCTGGTCAGAGGCAAGAGAGGACAGTGCACTTTTTGCTCTCTTTTTAAAAGAGGAGAGGTATTGGGAGAAGTAGAGAAGAAATAATGCCCTGTAACTACTTCTTTTGTAGTCTTTTATGTAATTTCATATACATTATCTGAAATTCCTGGATCTCATCATCATATTTGTCATACATTCAGGATGCTACTTGGGGTACAGGACCAAATCATGGGATGGTTAGACATGCCCTGCTTGGTCAGACCAGTGGTCTGCTTACCCCAGTACTGTGCATTCGTTAGCAGAGGTAAGAGATGCTGTTCAGAGAGATAGGGATGTTAGAAGCTACATCCTATCTAGTCCTTTTAGAAACCATTTATGAGCCTGTTGTGCATGGGGCTGAGGGACATTAAGCTCCAGGAATTCACCCATTACATAAATACTCATGAAACTAATAACCTACTGGTTCTGCCAAGTGGCCTCTAGCTGCCGCATTAACTAGTTACATAATAATTCTGCATTTATCATATCCAAAATCCAGTTTGCTGAAGAGACAACTCTTATCTCTAGTGTGGTTGTACTCTGTCCACTGTTGGAATGCGGATTTTTAATGTTTTCCCTTCCTGTAATGCCATGCATATTAGCTCTTATTAGCTACTAGAATAAGCATTTCTAGATTGGTAGTGAAGATGAGTACAGCAGAAAAAAATGTAGTATTTTGTATACAAAGTACATTATTAGGAAAACTGGACAGGAAAGAAAGGGTGATGGAAAGACTATTTAATATATCCCATGGACAAGAATGGGGTTGGAGAGAAGTCAGTTAATTGATAAGATTAGTCACGAGGGAAATTACTGCTGGAGTTCCATGAGAATTGTCTTTCAGATCATTCTTGCTTGATATTCATGAATAGCTTCAGCACTTGTTTTACTCTAACAGTTCATCAAATTATGAGAGAGAATGTGGTTTTCTGTTACAGCAGGAGACTGAATGTAGTAACTCCAATTCCCTTCTATTCCTATATTGCAGTCAAAATAGTTTTTATATTATAAATAGCTACTTAAAGTTATTTTTTATGAAGAAAGATACTTTTCCTAGAATGCAGATCACTTCATATTCATTGAGGATAAGAGAAAATTAATTGATTTACTTTGATATTGAAGCAGGGCAACATGTTAGCTGTAAAGAGCAGAAGAGATAAAACGGATGGTCTGTCTGGGAAGCAAAGAAACTCGACTGCCATAAAGCAGGGCGATGGGTTCCATGACCAGCTGAGGTCCCTTCTGGCCTTAGGTGTCTGAATAGGAAAGGTCAGCTGACAGTGCCAGGCCAGCCCTACCTAGCGGGGTTTGCTGTATGAGCAGTTTGCTGAGCTTTTGGCCAGCAGAGGTCTCATTGTGCTCTTCCTCCTCCCAGTGCTCCCCAGCAAGGTTCCTTGTAAAAGCTCTGCTGTTGTGGGAATTAAGCCTCGCTACTGCCACCCGTGGCAAAGCTAAGAGCACTAGAGTATCACAGCTTGTAAGCAGAGGACTGAGTAATTTGAGGCCTGCCATTTTCGAACTAACCAACTTTAAGCACCCATTTTAGGTTTACAGATTGCAAAGAAATGTACCCCAACACAGAACACAGAATGCACTTGTGCAGAGAACTTCTTTTGCAATTCCTCTGGGTCATGCGCACACTGTGACCCATGTTCCACGTAAGTTTCTGCCTCCTTTGATTTGTGTTAAATATCCAATTTTGAGCAACCTTTCTCCAGCCAATTTCAAGATGACTTCTATGATAATATCTAACCTTGGGGAAAAGTTACTAGTTTTCCTTTCATTAACTCTGCTAACTTAATTTGCATGCAGACTTTCCAAAGGCACACAAAAAATCTTGTAGAAATGCACCACCTCTGCACATACCTTAAAAAAATCTTAATGAAGTGGCTAAATTGTAATATATCTTGATGCATTAAATACCTGATAAAAAGTTAGAATATTTTGATTTGTTCTCGAGAGAGCGTTTGAAAGCAGATAAACAAATCTCTTAATAATGTTTGTTTGTGTTTTCTGCAGGTGTGGCAGTAACCTTATTGAAAAACACTGTACTCCAACTTCAGACACTATATGCAAAATAAAAGGTACCATTTTATAACGTAGCATGGTAGTGTCCCAGCATGACTCCTGGCAGCTTGGGGCATCACATACACCAGGCCCTGCACTCACCTGGGGCCCTGCACTGACCTTGCTTTTTCCTTGATCAGTGTGGAAATTTTGGGGTCACCATTCCTTTTTCTAAGGTGTCACTCAGTAGATAAATCTTTAAAAAAGAAATACTTACTACCATTAGAAGAAAATACAAAGATGCCTATAGTCTGACACAATTTTGTTTAAATTTTACATTGTGTTGCCATACTGCATTTCTTGACTGAACTTTCATGTACTGTTTCCAATGTTCCAACAGAAGAGGGAAGCCAAACGAACATTGCACTGGCCGTGTGTTTACCAGCAACTGTGGTGGCTGCAGGAGCACTGATCTACTGCTGTAAGTTCCTTGTTCCTATCATACTCTGAATAGGATATTCAACTGCTTTCTCGGGTGTAATTTTATTGTTATTGGAGTGTAGAGGAGGAATATGCTTTGTGCTGGATTTTCAAATTGATCTGTGTTGCATTGTTTCAGATATTAAAAAACGTACGCATCGTATTAACAAGCAGTCCCCAGGTCAATCAGTCCCCGAACCTGGAGTTCCTTATGTAAGTATTGTTGCTTAGGTCGCATAGAGCTCATTTGGTGCCTGAACTTTTGTCCCACTGAAATTACACAGGGACTTCCCAAGCACCAGGAGACCTGTCTCCTGTTATATGAATGCAGTAGATCTCAGCAAGGGGATTCCTTTGGGAGAAATAAGAGGGAAAAAAGAATAACTATCTCAAATGATTTCCTCATATAACCTGACAATATGCTGATAATGCTTCTTGAGTTATATGACAAAGACCAAAATGTTACAAATTAGCCTGCCTATCCTGACCAGGGTACCTGTCCCCATGCATACTTCTGGGCCAAAGCCCAAAATGGTGATTCCCCTACCTAGGTCAAATAGGTCTGTCCAATCTGATTCTCTGACTAGGAAAGAGGGACATCATGGGAAAAGCTAAAATAAAATTGGATATGCAGATGTCATAGAATCTATTATACAAAGCTAGTATCTTACAAAGCTGTTTCCAATCAATTTCTTTTCTGCTTTTTTTTCAGGAGATGGTACCTATCATGTTTGCAGGTAAGAAGCAAGCAATTTCTCATAATTCAGTGCAAGATAAAAATACACAGGGAAATATTATACTAATTTATTGTAGACTTTGCCATTTCTTAGAGAAGGGTTATTAAAGAAATGCCAGTTCTTTACTTATGAAGGCATTTAGTGGTTTCATGCTAATGAAACTTTTAACCCAGGAGCAATGTCCTATTCTCTGTTGTGTGGGAAACAATTACTCGCAGACCACAGGCAAACTCCTATTCTGCATTTACTACAAACACAAGGAGGTGGCAAGCTCTATTTTTCTGATTTTGGTTAGCTGTAGCAATGGAGTAGCTCCACACACCAGCAATGGGACAGCAGAAACACAAGCCTTACGTTCAAGGCTAAGGCCATAGTACTAACAAAGAAAAAGAAGATATGAGCTCTAAGGCTCCATCACAGTATGACACCTCTCTAGTTACAGGACCTTTACCAACACTGTGCTGGGCAAAACAGATACATCAGACTCTGATCATAAATAGGACAAAAGGGGTTACAGAGAGAAGAAAGGCTCTATTCGAAGCGACAGCAGCAGTATCGATGTAGCTCTGCATATTTGTCTTACTTAGCATTTGTTAACAACATATACAAGTGGAGCTGTTGCTAATACAGAACCTAATATAAGTTGTAAAAATTGCACATTAAATATACGGAGTCATGAATACATGAAACTTCATCTGTACTGGATAGGAAAAGGTTCAGCTTTCCACACAGGTGATTCAAAGCAGTAAGATATCAATGTCAAGACTCTTCTTTTCTTCTTACACTTCTAGATATTGACCTGAGCACCCACATTCCTGATATTGTTGGGGAGATGACACTCCCAGAGGTCAAGACATTTGTTCGTAATCATGGAGTACCAGAACCTGTCATAGATGAAATTCTTCGGGATAATGCTAACAATACATCTGAACAGAAGATTAAACTGTTTCAAGACTGGCATCAAAGACATGGGATAAAAGGAGCCTATGAAACCCTGATCAGAAGTCTAAGAAAGCTTAAAATGTGCACCGCAGCTGATAAAATTGAGAAAAAACTGAAGGCAGCTCTTGCCAGCAGTCAGGAAGTTGGACAGTCTTACAGTGATAATAGAAAGCAAAGCACAGCCTGCACTGAAGAAGGTGGAAACTCTCATCTTCATAATGCTGAGCAAGGCAAAAGCTATTCTGACCATTTGGAAGAGACATAGCATAGCACCATTTGAAAACTATTTCTAATCAACTTGCTATTTTTGTAATAATATATACATGAAGTTTTTAATTGTCACTTTTTGGGCAGCTTACTAGGATCCAAGGAGGTGATAATGTGAGCAAGTCCTGATTTTTCAAGAGGTGTTTTTATAAAAAAAAAATTCAATTTTTAATTTTTTTTAAAGAGTTATAACTATTTATTTAGATTGCTAAGAACTGAGAGGAATCAAGAGCTCTGTTTTTAAGAGTCTATGAAATGTACTGGTAAAAACTGAACAAAAAATATTTTTATATACTATCCACTCATTATTTCTGAATATAAATATTAATCTTTCTAAATTCTAGTTTTCTGTAAGCAGGACTTCTCACTTGTATAAAAGTATTTTTGAGTGTGTGTAGGTGTATAATGCTTTGTGCACGCGTGTACAAGCTTTGCATGTGCATACATATAGATGTTATTTTATATATGCACAAGCTTTTCTGTGCAGAAGCCCAGGGTTAAGTATAAGGTACTATTCCCTTTGTTTCCTGCAGTGGTGGCAAAGCTTTTCTAATGTTAAAGCTCTTCAGAGAAGCAGGTTGCTGGGGGTTGCATGGAACCATGGTCAAATTGCACAAGTTGTGGCATCTGCAAACTTGCATGCCACACTAGCTTTCCAAATGCCAGAAATAATAATAAGGAAAATGCAATAATAAAATCAAAATTGTGAATTACTCTTCTTTTTCCTTCCTACAATGCACCTACAGATAACATTTTTAGATTTCATTTTTAAATCACAATATGGGGATCCCTATCCAAAAATATTTCTCACTTTGTCATCACAGAGCCACTTCAGGGCTCCTAAAGCCAAATAAGCAGTAGCTCTGCACCCTACCTGCTCTGTTAGAATTGAGGGACTATGTAAGATTATTCAAAGAGAGGAAGAGTTTCCCACACATTAAACATTTCTCACCCTAAGCTAAGCTCTTTTGCACCCATCTTCTGCACTTCAGAGGCAGAATTAGATACATGCTGCTGTTATGCTTCACATCATTTGTCTACTGGATTAACATTCTGACTTACAGACAAAGTAAACCTTACAAAGAGAAGGCAACCTATCTATACCACTTCTGTTCAGGAAAGCTTCCTCCCCTTCCAGTCTCTCAGTGAAGCCGTCCCTGCCCAAACACTAATTCACATTTCACGTTTCAATCAAGAAGAAACCTTTCTGCCGTCTCATTTCATTTTTCAGGTCCCACAGAAAGTGAGCAGGTGCCAAGAATCCACCTGAGGCAGCACCGGCCCGCCAGGCCTGCACTGGGGAGGGCTCCAAAAGGCCGTGCTGCTCCTGGCAGTGAAATCTGGGGAGGGTTGGGTGCAGCCTTTGAGGGAGCTGGAAGTGCAGCCATGGCTCTCTTAGTTGCACCCAGGAAAAAATGAAATGAGAGGAAATAGAGAAGCTTCAAAAACTGTCAGCCCTTCAAAGACTTGCTTAGGTTCTGAGGGCCACAAGAGCCCCACTTGCCCCGCTTCCAAGAGCCCATTCTGTTGACAAGCCAAGGCCTGCCTTAGATTGTTCAACCTTTCCTTAGTTCTCAAATGCTACACAGATATTAAGCACTTGCAAATATCTCCCAACTCAATCTGAAACCTCTTGCCTCAAACCTCTTTGCATTTTTTAAGTGATTCACAGGTCTAATATGTCCGCATGTCACTACGATATTGCCACTAAAATCCCCAATAGTACTGCTTTTCAAAGGAAAACTTAAAAGCCCTTCCAGCTAGATGGCCTAACATCCAGGCACCAGACTTGTGCAGACTTGTGCACTGCCTAATCACAGAGTGTAATGAAGGGCTGCATTCTCTACATGGGTTGTTGTGCCTGTGCTATCCGGACAGAACTCACGCGTGCTGCGCCAGTGTATTGCTCATTGCCATGTTTTCCAGAAGGCTCCATACACAGGAATAAAATATCTGCCTGGGAGCATCACCTAAGAAAAGTAGCACAGCACTGGTACAGGTTGTGCCATGCTTGCTCATTAGGTTGCAGTTATACAGGGGCATATTCAAGACAGAAAGGAAGAAAGCTCCATGCTTACAAGCCCTGGTAGTCAGACTGCTCCTGTACCATGTCCCACACAGGAAGGTATGAGCTTGCCTTGGCTCTCGTCTTTACCTCTCAGGCATGTGGCATCTGATCACCAGAAACTAGGGTTCCACCTCTTAGGACTTCCGTAAGCCAGTATAACTGATCTGAACAAGACAGTTAATAAAAAGCAGACACTGAATCTCTTAAACCTGTGATAATTGACTAGAACGTGAGTCCTTTTTTTTCATCACATTGGGATTTCCCAAGTTCAGTATGATGAGGATGGTTAAAAACAAAAAGCCCCTGAGCAATGAGTCATAAACTCCTTAGGAGAAACATCTGCAAGGCTGAATCTAGACTGCTATGAAAAGTAGTGTTAAGCATATATCCTGTATTTTTACTACACAGAATAGTGTGTAAGTGGATTGATTACATTGTACAATTGGCTTTCCAAAACAGTACATATACCTATTTGTATCTACAATGCAGTGAGCACTGCAATGTAGGTCATCTGAGCAAGCTTAAAATAGCTGCAAAGGAGACGAAAAGCAATTTAGTTCTGATGACCAATATTAACACATCTTGTTTTTCATCACTTCCCATTTCTGGCATCTTTAGCACACTATGTGCTTCACAGGAAAGTAATGCCAAGCAGTATTAGTGATGTTTCAACTTTTGTTTCACTTCCCAGGATGAAAGTCTGCACTGAGTCTCATGTTTATAAGCATGAGGTACTGCCAGTACCTTAACCACTCCTTAAAACCTAGTTCTGGTATCTTTATTTTGTGCTCTGCTCTGCAAATTGCACATTTGCAACAACTAGCCCCTTTCTACCCAAAGGCGAGACTGCCGTGAACAGGCAGCCCTGAAAAATGACTCTCTTCAACACTTTAGGTGGATGTAGGGGGGGGGCAGCAAAGAGAAATTCTACTGAGAAATGAAACCTTCCTGCTTTACAGAAACCAAGCAACAGAAAAGCAACTGGAAACCGAAACAGCAACTTGATCAGGGAATGACTTGGCACATTTTGAAAAGCAGAATGGAAAAGCTCCCCCTTCAGGAGAAGAAAAACTTACAACGCACTTGCCTTTCCTATAATTACATATTTAAAAAAGTGTTTTTAAACACTTTTAAATAAGTATTATTTTAAAACAACCACAGAAGAGCAGGAACATAGAAATATCAGACTAGAAGGAAAATTTCTTTCCTCTGCAACTGAAAGTGACTACATGACAGATGGTCTCAGAATTCAGAAATTTCACATAGCATTTTGCTCCATATATCCCCTACCCTCACTGTAAGTTCTTGTCACCCTGCAAGTAAATGGCAGCCCTGCAAGAGAGGTGAAACTAGATCACTATTACAGTGTGGCACTTGAAGAAAGCCTGAGATGTTAACAACATTTCCAGTATATGGCAGTCCCACAATAGTTACTTTTAGTTATTTTTAAAGTTGATCTCCTACTCATAGTGACAACTGCCAGTTCTTGAAAAAAGAACTTGAAAAAGAACTGCTGAGTATAAACAATCCAAAAATTTGCTCTGCACAATTTGCATGGTAAGGATGGAATAAACGTGAAAGAGCCATGGATTTATTTCCTGTTCAGAAAAGAGGGAAGGAACACAGCACAAATAAAAGAAATAAAAGAGTACTGAGAAATCCCTTAGAGTTGGACGTATTTCCTGTTTTGAGTGATGTAACCCCAAATTCTGCTCTTACAGTTTGTCAATACTTTGATTTTGTCCTTGAAAGAGAAGCTTACATTCTTCCTATCCCACAGCTAGCAAGAAGGAAAATACCCACTATGTGTCTAACCTCTAGTATGAAGTTGTGGTTGAAAATTATGAGGGATGTGGGAACAATCACAAAACTTAATGTACAGTCAGTATTTTCTGCATACCTTTTCAGTGGTTTTAGCTCATGTTCCTTGCAAAATTGGAAGCAAGGCATTTAAAGGCAGACAGAGTGCTAGAGGGTCTTTTCCCATAGCTTTAAACTGGGGGTTTTAACTGCCCCCACAAACCAACAACTGTGATATAGTGCTATTTTCATAGGAAGCAATTGAGCTGGGAATTGGCAAAAAGAAATGTCTGTGATCCCAAGCATTTTGAAAAGAGGGTCCTGGACCCTGAACAGGGTAGGTGATGGTGACAGCAAGCAGGAGCAGGCGAGAGCCTAAGGGACAGCCCTCGGCCTCGCGCGCAGCACCGGGAGGTCACTGTTTCTGCCTCCTCTGCTGCTTTCTGTGACCGTTGCCCTGTTGCACAGTCCTCAGCAGGGGAGGGCAGACATATCCACACACACAGAGCTGCAATAGTTGAAGCTCTAGGGCACATCTTATGCTGTCTCCAGCGATTCATACGCACCAGGCATCCCTGCTGCTGCTGTTAGTGCCCTGCTACCTCCGCTGTGCTGGATGGGGACCACAGATATCACAGGAGACTTGTGGGGACAAAGGGCTTTGAGTTGAGCTGATCTCAAAGGGCCTCAAAGCTCAAGGTCTGTCTGTGGGACATGAGAACAACACCTATGCCTGGGCCTTTCTGAGGGGAGACCACATTTACCCCAGGCACTGCCCTCTCACTTGCACACGAATGAATAGTTGGCACCAGATAACTCACTGTTACAAACATCTTCATCAAATCTCTTTAAATAGAGGAGGGGGAAAAAAAGAAAAAAAAAAGGAAAGCTGAAGTCACATTAAAAATGGAGTTTTCCCTAGTTTCTTCTCGTTCGGCGTGCAGAGGGGACGGCAGCAGCTCCAGACGGCCTCGTTGCTCACAGAAACCACACGTCCGCCCCTGCAGGCCGCTGCTCCTCGCCCGCGCTCAGCAGATGGCAGCCGGTGTCCGCGCGGTCCCTCCCGGGCCCCACACGCTTCCCCGGGCTGCTCCAAGCCCCGGGCTGCTCCTTCCCGCCTCCTCGGCCTGGCCTGGCGCCCTGCGCTCTCTTGGGAGCGCTCGTCTCTCAGCAAAGCGACGTGTTGTAATGGAGCTCAGACACCAGCGAAGAGGCTGCAAGGGCTCAAAGCTCTGCT